CACGTGCCACCATGCCCAGCTAATTTTTTGTAGTTTTAGTAGAGATGGGGTTTCACCATGTTGACCAGGATGGTCTCGATCTCTTGACCTTGTGATCCACCCGCCTCGGCCTCCCAAGTGCTGGGATTACAGGCTTGAGCCACCGCGCCCGGCCTTGTATACATTTTTATTGTACCTTTTCTATGTTTAGACATGTTCAGATACATAAATACTTACCACTGTGTTATAATTCAGTCTTCAGTATAGTAACATGCTGCAGAGGTTTGTAGCCTAGGAGCAACAGGATATGCCATCTAGCCTAGGTATGTGGTAGGCTATACCATCTAGGTTTGTGAAAGGACACTCTATGATGTTTCCACAATGACAAAATTGGCTGACGGTGCATTTCTTACATTGTATCTCTGCCATTAAGCAATGCATGACTGTATATCCTCTGAGGGATATCACCAGTCTCACATTTAAAAATTATATAATCCTATAAATCAAGCAAGGTTAGTTCCCTTCTTAAAACAAAACAAAAAGGAACAACGAAAAGCCCAGACACCAAGATCACTAAGATGGTTCAGAACCAGATCTCAACTTCAGACCTGTTTGGTTCATATGTAATTTATTAAAGTTGAAAATGATTTTTCATTCTATATAATCTATCTTGACATTATCCTATAAGCCTCTAACCAATACAAATTGACCCTTGAGAAGGACATAAGCCACCCAGCGAGAAGCCTCTTGTCTAGTTCCTCCATGAGTCTAACTTCCGTGTACTGCCCCAGCAGAAAATCCAAACAAGCACCCTATATCTCATTGTTGTCCCTTCCTTTGGCTCCCACTCCTTTCTTGATATTTAGAGCAAAGAACAGTAGTGTTTCTTCACTGAAGTTATTAAGATTTTCATTTTATCAAAATACAATCTATATGTGTATCTTCCATTTTCAAACTAATGAATGAGGAGTAATCTTCTTACCGTATTGACCCAATCATGTATGGCTGTGCCAGCTGAACCACAATCGCACCACTTCCTAGCTGGTGACATGTGTAGCCAGAATCCCAATCATAATTCTTAGTGTCCCCATTCAGCAAGGCATTTCGGCTCCGACTGACTCCTTCAATCACGCTGGCACAATCAGCAATTGTTGCAATGTTCTCCATGGGAACTGTGAATCCAAAAACAAGATTTGGCATCAGGAAAAGGGAAGCCAAATATATCTTGATAGTGTGCTCAGAACAAAATTAATTAACTGCTATCTCAAATCAATGGTAAAAGAAAAATTAGAGGCCGGGCGCGGTGGCTCAAGCCTGTAATCCCAGCACTTGGGAGGCCGAGGCGGGTGGATCACAAGGTCAAGAGATCGAGACCATCCTGGTCAACATGGTGAAACTCCGTCTCTACTAAAAATACAAAAAATTAGCTGGGCATGGTGGCGCGTGCCTGTAATCCCAGCTACTCAGGAGGCTGAGGCAGGAGAATTGCCTGAACCCAGGAGACGGAGGTTGCGGTGAGCCGAGATCGCGCCATTGCACTCCAGCCTGGGTAACAAGAGTGAAACTCCATCTCAAAAAAAAAAAAAAAAAAGAGAAAAAAAAGAAAAATTAGAACATTTTGATTATCTTCAGATATGAATACATTTTCCATGGCAAATAGCTTAAAAAAAATGTTAAACCCACTGGGCATGGTGGCTCACATTTGTAATCCCAGCACTTTGGGAGGCTAAGGTGGGCAGACCACTTGAGGTCAGGAGTTTGAGACCAGCCTGGCCAGCATGGTGAAAATCCATCTCTATAAAAATACAAAAAATTAACCAGGCATGGCAGCATGAGCCTGTAGTCCCAGATATTTGGAAGGCTGAGGCAGGAGAATCACTTGAACACAGGAGGCAGAGGTTGCAGTGAGCCAAGATCACATCACTGCACTCCAGCCTGGGTGACAGAGCAAGATTCTGCCTCAAAAAGAAAAGAAAAGAAAAGAAAAGAAAAGAAAAGAAAAGAAAAGAAAAGAGAAAAGAAAGAGAAGAGAAGAGAAGAGAAGAGAAGGGAAAGCAAGGTATAGAAAAATACAGGCTATGTTTTCATTTATACAAAGCTTTCAACAAAGTCAAAATGAAACATGCTTTGTTTAGAGCTATATACATAAATGTGAAACTGAAAAGGGAATCTAGGAAATTAATACAGAAAAATAAAATAGCTTGGGAAGAGGGAAGATGAAATTTTGGAAGCCCCCCCACCCCACACCAACCAAAAGGTCTAAATATTAACTGGGTCAGGTGCAGTGGCTCACGCCTGTAACCCCAGCACTTTAGGAGGCTGAGGAGAGGGGATTGCTTAGTTCAGGAGTTCAAGACCAGCTGGGACAATGTGGTGAAACCTCATCTCTACCAAAAATATAAAAAATTAGCCAGGCGTCGTAGCACACATCTGTGGTCCCAGCGACTTGGCTTACTGAGATGGGAGGATTGCTTGGACCTGGGAGGCAATGGTTGCAGTAAGCCAAGATCACACCACTGCACTCCAGCCTTGGAAACACAGTGAAACTCCCTCTCAAAAACAAACAAAAAAATGATTTTTATGTCTAATACAGATATTTAATCTATTCTTCTGAAAGTCTGCTTAAAGAAACATGTTTAATTCAGAATTCTGAAACACATAATAGGAAAGCGATCCAGGACGTGGCACCAAACCCATTTCAGAATATACAGTTGCCCTCAGCCATGATTGATTTATTTTTGTTTGTCTACTATTCTGTGCATTGCAATATATATGCTCTTCCCATTGTTCATGAACTGCTGCATCTTAAAAATCCAGCTGTTCTGATTTTGAGTCTCTACATCAACCTGCTCATTTATAAAAGTCAAGAACTTCCACAAAATGATGGATGCTCAATATGATGTAAATTCTTTAAACACTGAGAAGAGAATAAAAGGTAAGGGGCTTTTAAGTCCCCTGGGACCTTTTCTGTGCATTTAAAACAAAAACCTATAATTTTCTCCAGACATTTAAGTTATTTAACCGAAACCTACTTATATCCAAGGTTTGTAGCTTACTTCAGATAATTTAAAAGTAGATTGGAAAAGAAAACGTAATTCTACATATATCTTCTACAGAACTCATTTATTTTCCAAAGTTGGACGTGCTTGTACTTAAGCCCTCATCTCATATGCCTTCACTAATTGCTTTGCTCTCTGTAGCTGGGTAAAGCCACCCACAGAGAAGAAAGGAAGGGAGAGAAGGGAGAGAGAGAGGATTAATTTTTCTGGTGATGAATTCCTTGATTATAAAGCTTAACTCCAAAGCAACAAGCAAAAACACTGGTGAAATTACCTGTAAGGACAGTTTCCTGGCAGAGTAAGAGCTCAGAGAAAAACTCCCTGTGACTTTGGAAAGAAAAAGAAGCGGATTAAATTTAGAAGGTAAGCTATGGTACTTCTGTCTCCCGGAAAAAGGGCAGTATTCTTTGATTTGGAAGAGAGAATGAAAGGAAATGGCACAAGATGTACAGTAAATTGAGCTGAGGGATAACACTGTAGACAGGTTATACTGCAGCAACTGACAAGCCCCTACTCTCTCAGTGGCTTCACATAGAACACATTTATTCAATACAATCAGCCAGGAGGTTCTGTTCATTGTATCACTCAGGGATCCCAGTGACAGAGGCTTCATAGTGACATGTGCTTCCCCATTCACAGCAGCAGTGGGAAGAGAGTAAGCCGGGCACTGGCTCCTAAAACTCTTCCCCAAAAGTAACATACGCTACTTTGCACAAATTTCATTGTCTACGACAGGTCACGTGGCCTTACCTAACTTCAAAGGGGACTAGAAAGCACAAACCTGCTATGTGCCTGGGAAAAGCACCAGGGAGAAAAAAAAAAGGGAGTATTTGGTGACCAACATTTAATACCTACCACAAACATTAAGCCTGGATGAAAAAACATTTAATACACAGTACATCTGGTCATCTGTTTCAAGTATATAAAGTATTTCAATGTATTAATACTCCAAAATTTATATATCTATTCTCTTGCTGAGGGACATTTAGATTGCTACCATTGTTTTCTTTGCCATTACAAACAAAGGTGTCTTCTTGTATTCCCAAGTAAGAGTTTCTTAAAGGAATACTTAAGATTTCTATGTATGTGGAAGTGGAGTTACACTCACGGCTATGACTTAACTTCAACTTCTCTAGACATTGCCAAATTATTCACCAAAGTGGTTGTAAAGCTTTATACTCTCTCCTTGAAGAGGTCCTTCAGAACACCCCTTGTAAGTTGTATTCCTAGGTATTTTATTCTTTGTAGCAATTGGGAATGGGAGTTCACTCATGATTTAGCTCTCTGTCTATTATCGGTGTATAGGAATGCTTGTGATTTTTGGACATTGATTTTATTTCCTAAGACTTTGCTGAAGTTGCTTATCAGCTAAAAGAGATTTGGGGCTGAGATTATGGGGTTTTCTAAAGATATAATCATGTCATCTGCAAACAGAGGCAATTTGACTTCCTCTCTTCCTATCTGAATATGCTTTATTTCTTTTTCTTGCCTGATTGCCCTGGCCAGAACTTCCAATACTATGTTAAACAGGAGTGGTGAGAGAGGCCATCCTTGTCTTGTACCTGTTTTCAAAGGGAATGCTTCTAGCTTTTGCCCATTCAGTATGATATCGGCTGTGGGTTTGTCATAAATAGCTCTTATTATTTTGAGATATATTCCATCAGTACCTAGTTTATTCAGAGTTTTTAGCATGAAGAGGTACTGAATTTTATTGAAGGCCTTTTCTGCATCTATTGAGATAATCACATGGTTTTTGTCATTGGTTCTGTTTATGTGATGGATTACATTTATTGATCTGTATATGTTGAACCAGCCCTGAATCCCAGGGATCAAGCCAACTTGATTGTGGTAGATAAGCTTTTTGATGTGCTGCTGGATTTGGTTTGCCAGTATTTTATTGAGGGTTTGCGCATTGATGTTCATCAGGGATATTGGCCTGAAATTTTCTTTTTTTATTGTGTCTCTGCCAGGTTTTGGTGTCAGAATGATGTTGGCCTCATAAAGTAAGGGAGGAGTCCCTCTTTTTCTGTTGTTTGGAAGTTTCAGAAGGAATGGTAGCAGCTCCTCTTCATACCTCTGGTAGAATTTGGCTGTGAATCCGTCTAGTCCTGGGCATTTTTTGACTAGTAGGCTATTAATTACTGCCTCCATTTCAGAACTTGTTATTGGTCTATTCAGGGATTCGACTTCTTGCTGCTTTAGTCTTGGGAGTGTGTATGTGTCCAGGAATTCATTAATTTCCTCTAGATTTTCTAGTTTATTAGCATAGAGGTGTTTATAGTGTTCTCTGATGGTAGTTTGCATTTCTGTGAGATCGGTGGTGATATCCCCTTTATCATTTTTTATTGTGTCTATTTGATTCTTCTCTCTTTTCTTCTTTATTAGTCTGGCTAGTGGTCTATCTATTTTGCTAATCTTTTCAAAAAACCAGCTCCTGGATTCATTGATTTTTCTGAAGGGTATTTCGTGTATCTTTCTCCTTCAGTTCTGCTCTGATCTTAGTTATTTTTTGTCTTCTGCTAGCTTTTGAATTTGTCTGCTCTTGCTTCTCTAGTTCTGTTAATTGTGATGTTAGGGTGTCAATTTTAGATCTTTCCCATTTTCTTCCATGGACATTTAGTGCTATAAATTTTCCACTAAACACTCCTTTAGCCGTGTCCCAGAGATTCTGGTATGTTGTGTCTTTGTTCTCATTGGTTTCAAATAACTTCTTTATTTCTGCCTTAATTTCATTATTTACCCAGTAGTCATTCAGGAGAAGATTGTTCAATTTCCATGTAGTTGTACAGTTTTGAGTGAGTTTCTCCACTGCTTAAGGAAATAACATTCCATGCTCATGGATAGGACGCATTAATATCATGAAAATGGCCATACTGCCCAAAGTAATTTATGGATTCAATCCTATCCCCAACAAGCTACCATTGACTTTCTTCATAGAATTAGAAAAAAACTACTTTAAATGTCATATGGAACCAAAAAAGGGCCCATATAGCCAAGACAATCCTAAGCAAAAAGAATAAAGCAGGAGGCATCATGCTACCTAACTTCAAACTATAGTACAAGGCTACAATAACCAAAACAGCATGGTATTAGTACCAAAACAGATATACAGA